GACATCCCTTCAAAATCTCACTCTTCTAGTCTCTCACTTTCACGAGTTAGCAAATTACCTGGTAGAAACTTTCAAGGTCCCGTAAGTAGGCACCACGCTTACCCGCGGGCAGGGTTTGAACTCTTTGAACGGGGAACACTGCCCTAAGATTTCAGCTTTCTAGCTTCTCAGATCCCAGAGTTGTGAACTTCCGAAAAAATATTGGCGGGGTCGTATGCGGGTACCAAGCTTACCCTGGGGAAGGGTTTCAGTGCATTATCACCTACTTGAACGGGGAACATTGCCCTAAGATTTCAGCATTTTAGCTTCTCAGATCCCCGAGTTATGAACCTACCCGAAAAAAACATTGGCGGGCCCGTAAGCGGGTACCAAGAGTGCTGGCTGGGGTTGGGACTGGCACGTGCATGTAGATTAAGTTTCCGAAATTTCAGCCCCGCAGCTTTTATAGGTCTTGAGATGAAAGTGCGTGACAGACACACACACAGACACACGAACACACAGACAACCCCTTGTCATTATGCGTTTTTGCATTGCACAGCTGCAAAAAACGCATAATAAGATGTGCAGGAGTATTTCGGCCCATTAATTTATATAACTTCTCATTCAGCACTACAGCTGGACCTCGTCAGTATGACAGCCATACATGTTTTAGCTTAAATTCAGCTGAAAACTCACGTCACTGCAACAGAGTCAATTCAAGTTCAAAACGCACCACAGCATGAAAGCCTTGGATGAGCTGGAATGTCTTATTCTTCCTGGACTTTAATAATGGAAAATAGCAAACCCAGTGCGAGCGAAGTTGGCCCAGTAGCGCATAAACCTGTAGCTGAGCTCCTGCTCCTCCTTCGTGTATTTGAATCTCTCTGTATTCAGCGGTTCGCCAAATATGAAATTGATCTCGTATCCATGTAGTACTCCCATCCACTCGGGCCATGTCTGTTGCGTCGCACGGTGCGTGAAATAGTAGTAATATGTATCACCTAAAGCCAAGAAAATTGTAAGGCCTGAGCACATAATTCGATTAGTAGCTCATTCAAAGTGCAACAGAAGTGCTGGTGCTAGCTGGCTAGTTATGCGTTTTTGCTTATACGCAAGTTACAAAAACGCATGCTGTGACGACCCATGGTGTGTGTTCGTGTATGTCCCTATGTGTGTGTAGGTCTGTGTATATGTGTGTGTTTGTGTGTTCGTCTGTCCGGGTATTTCAATTCGACACCCAAACAAGCTTCAGTGCCAAAATTTTGCCTACGGGTTCCCCAGCCAACTACCGCTCCAGGACCGCGGCACCAACTCTCACGCGATTCTGGGCCTCGCGTACGAGAGGGTGAAAATGCGCGAAAATCGAGAACTAGAAAAGCTAGAAAGCTAAATTTTGGGATTGTGTCTCCCAACCACCTGGAACTCAAAGATTTCAAATTCAGTTCTCCGGTACGGGTGGTTCCCGCCTACGGCCCCGTGAGGGTCCTGCGCGAAAATTGCTAGCTTGGTAACTAGGAAAACTGAAAGCTGAAATTCTCAGGGAATGTTCCGGCACATGTACAGCAAAAGTTTACCAGATTCAGCCCCCAGATATGCGTGGTTCTCACATACGGCCCCGTAAAATTTTTTGGCGGAAAAATGGCTAGCTGGGGAAGTAGGAAAGCTGGGGGCTGAAATTTTAAAGGTACTTTCCCAGCCCCACGTAAAAATTAAAGATGTAAAATTTATCTCCCAGACATGTGCGGTTCTCATTTACGGACCTATGAAATTTTTTGGAAGAAAAATTGTTAACTCAAGAATCAGAGAAATTGAAAAGTTGAAATTTTAACGGAATGTTCCCTGTCCACGTAGACAATTAACTTCTCGGACTTCAAGGACCAGTATGTCACAAATCCTAGCTACTAAGTTTCCGATCGATCTCACTACAGTACGAAATACTGCAAAAAAGCATGATCACACGGGTCCGCCCGGTGCGCATCGCCAACGATTTCTATATGGACAATTCTGAAAAGTGATCATACTCCAGTCCTTTCATACCAGTTGAACATCACAGTAAATAAGTATTTTCTGCTGTAGTATTAAACTGCAAAACATTGCGGAACCATTTTGACCTCCATTCATGCTGTTGGCAAGAGCAATCTCGTTGACATTGCACGTGAACTGCAAATCGCCAAGCATTTTATCGAGCGCATTTAGCCAATCGGACGGCTTGATCGGCAGCTCAGTCGGTTCGTACTCATGGATTATAGATGCGAGTGCCAATGGCGCTTTCAGCATTTGACGAGGTAGCAGATTCGATATACTACGCAGCCAATCCTCACGGTTCTTCACAAAGTCCTTCTTCACAAAGAAATCACTCGGCGGGAAAATATCCTAAAACTTGTTAATAGAGTTGCATAGTTTTTAAGCTGGTCGTTGCAGCTACGATAACAATCAGTGTCAGATCAATAATTTAAAACTGAGGTAGTGAAACGAATGTCAAGATCGTCAGCAGCTGAACACCGGGCATTGGTCAAAACAGATGGAAAGTTGACAGTTGTATAGCTGGAAAACCAGACTTTAATCCAACTATTCCAAGTTGCCAAAAATTTTTTTAAGTGTTGCTAAAATTTAATTGATTATTAATTTCCTTGGGCATATTAATAAATAGCGACCCACACTACAATGTCTGCATAATAAAGTTTTTTTGGAAGCATAGTGGGTGAAAGTGCTAGTAATAAAAAGCACTTACAGTAACTTACAGTAAAAAGCACTTGTTACAGTGACTTTCTGACTCACTGAACACACAGGAGCACCAAATTTCGCCTTTACTGCTCCGGACAACTGGCCAAATGCAATTTCGACTCGGTTTTCTTAATCTTCCTCTAGCAGCTTTGGCTCTCCGTATAACGCGATTATAGGAATGCCCTCAGTATGCCATTAATATAAACAGTTAGTACGTGACCTCTCAGAATTTCTTACCGTATGGTAACGCACTCTGGGGCTTACTTAGATATGGTTAAAAGCTTAAGAAATGTAAAACGTGACTGCAACTCTATTTCACAATGCAGTTAGTACATTTGAATAATGTTCTTACGAAGACAACACAGACTGTTCCTTCATTTGAAGAATCACTGGCGACGCGCACTGGGGGGGCTCCGTTCGATCATGCGTTTTTGCAGTGTTCCATGCTGCAATAAGACCACTCGAAATCCCGCTAGCTAGAAACCTCTTGTACGTACCGGTCCTCGAATTTCAGGAATTCAATTATCCACCCTATACTTGGACAGGGACCATTTCCTTGAAATCCCAGGTTTCCAGCTTTCTCAGTTCCCGAGTTATTCAAATTCCAGCCAGGAAATTTCACGTGGCAATCACGCATAGGGGGCTGAATTTGATAAATTTAAGTTGTAGATGAGTTGGGAAAATTTCCTGAAAGTTTCAGCCTCAGAGGCTGAATTTGATAAACTGAAGTTGTAGATGAGTTGGGAACATTTCCTGAAAATTTCAGCCTCCCACTTTCTTGGTTCTCGAGCTAGCGATTTTCGCGCTAGGAACCCTCACGGGGCCGTACGTGGGAACTACGATCCCCCGGGGGCTGAATTTGAAATCTTTGAGTTCTACCTGGACTGGAAACATAATCCAAAAATTTCAGCTTTCTAGCTTTTCTGGTTCTCGAGTTAGCGACTTTCCCGCCACAAATTTGAGGCGCTCCTACACGGGGACTAGACGTGCTTGAGGGTTGGTACCGCGGTCCTGGGGTAGCACTTGGCAGGGGAACCCACTCCCAAAATTTTGGCGCCGGAGCTTGCTTAGTTGCTGAGTTGAAATACCCGGACAGACGCACACGCACACACACACACACACACACACACACACATACACACACATGTACACCGGGGTCGTCACAATATGTTTTTGCATATTATGCAAAAACGCATAAAACTCAACATTTTCTATGTTTTATTTCGCAGCTTGCTACCTGAGTGAGGCAGACACATCCCTATTTTTCAGGAAGCATGAGGTAGCTGTTTTGCCATGCAAAAACACATATTGTGATGACCCCGATGTGTGTGTGTGTGTTCGTATGTGTGTGTGTGTGTGCGTGTGTGTGCGTGCGTGTGTGTATGTGTGTGTGTTCGTATGTGTGTGTGTGCGTGTGTGTGCGTGCGTGTGTGTATGTGTGCGTGGTGGTTTCGGTCCGCATGCATCCTCTTCGAAAGGTGGGAAAGTAGCTTGAGTAACAACAGATATCAGCAGCAGCAGCTATCCGCTAGCAAGATGGCAATATTTATTTTTTAGAAGGTTGCTTAGAAGCAATCTGATGAGGGGCTTAACCTCTTGACATGCATTATTTTCCTCCACTTCTGCCAGTGTTTAAAGTGTCCTTCCAACCCGTACAGTTTATGGTCATGCGTTGTTTTTGTTAAATTCACAAACCTACAAAAACGAGTAGAAATCAAAGGACTTTTGTGCATTCGTGGAGGTGACTTTTAACCGTAGATTGTTAAACTTTTCAAAATATAATTGACAAATTGTTAAATTCACCCCCAATTGATAGACAATGAAGTAAATCGCTTCCTCTCTGTTCGAGCCAGCCAACAGCTGAGTTACTTTGAAATTGCCGTTTTTGAGCGATGTTGTCGGCTGCTCGATCAAAAAGTCGCCATCAATAACCGGAACCCACGGAAAGTCGACGAATTCCATTACAGGTGCCCACTCCGAATCGCGGATAGCTTCTGCTGGAGCATCC